AGTCACTACTTCAAATACAAAAGACAAAGTGAAAAAAAAAGAAAAAAGGTCCAAGAAGCAAAGATAACAATCACAAATATATATTCACTTAATACCTGTGCACCCAGCTATATAAAACAAATACTAATGGGCATGTAAAATCAAATAAACACTAATACAATGAAGGATCTCAATACCTCACATATAAGCAGATCAACTACACCAAAATTCAAGATCAGAAATGAACCAAATGTCTGAAGAAGTGGGCTCGGTAGATGTCTATAGAGTGTTCAACCCCACCTTAGAATACACATTCTTCACAGCTGCACATAGGACATTCTCCAAAAGAGACCATGTACTAACTCATAGAACATGTTTAAATAAATGCAAAACAATTACCTCATGCATGCCAGAACACAGTGCAATGAAATTGGAAATCAAGAGCAAAAAAAAAAAAAAAAATCACAAAAACTTCATAAACAAATGAAAACTAAATAACATTCTCCTGAACAACCAATGGGTCATAGATGAATTACTATTATTATTATCATTATTACCTATCTTTTTTGAAACAGGGGTTCACTATGCAGTACAGGTTGGTTTTGCCACTCACATTGTAGACCAGGTTGGCTTTGAACTTGCAGCAATCCACCTGCCCCAGTCTCCTAAGTGCTAAGATTACAGGCATGTGCCACCACACCTGGCTTCTTCACAAATGAAATTAAAGAAGAAATTAGACAGTTTCTACAATTAAATGATAAAGCCCATACAACATACTTGACCTTACGGGATGCAATGAAGCAGTCGTATAAGGGAAATTTATAGCAATAATTCTCATATTAGAAAAATAGAGAAAGCTCAAATAAACAACCTAATGTTGAACCTCAAATTTCAAGTGAAGAAGAATAAGTTAAGCCCAAAGCTCATACAAGGGAGGAGATTATAAAGAAATTAATGCAATAGAGACTAGGAAAACAATATAAAGAATCAATGAATCAAAGAGTTGGTTCTTTGAAAGATTAAATAAAGTTGACAAACTTTAGCTAATTTTATCATAAAAAGGAAAGAAAAGACTCAAATTCATGCAATTAGGAAAGGAAAGGGTGAAATCATAACAGATCCTGCAGAAATCCAGATCTCATAGAAGAAAAGGACAGAGTCCAGGACACAAATGAATTATCATAGCTGAATCAAGAAGATATAAAAATTCTAAGGAATCCAATATTAGTCAATAACATTGAAGGTGTAATTAAAAATTTAACAGCAGACAAAAGCCCAGACCTTGATGGATTCACTGCTGAATCTACAAGAAATTTAGAGAAGACCTAATGCTGCTATGTCTCAAACTGCTCAATGAAACTAAAAGGGAAACAGTAATGACAGATTCATTCCTGCAGGCAAGCATTACCCTGATACCAAAACCAGAGAAGGATACAACCAAAAAATAAAACAAACAAGTAAGTCAAGAAACAAAAAACAAAACATTTCAATATCCCTAATGAACATAGACACAAAAAATCTCAATCAGATACTGGCAAATAAAATGCTGCAAATCATCAAGATTATATACTATCACCAAGTAGGATTCATCCCACGGATGCAGGAATGATTCAACATATCAATAAATCAATGTGTAATAAACCATATTAACAGAGCAAAGGGCAAAAACCATATGATCATCTCAACAGATGCAGAAAAAGTATTTAACATGATACTCTACATAGAAGACCTCAAAACTCCAACGAAAGATTTCTAGATTTAATAACCAAAATCAGTAGTGCAGATGGATACAAGGTGAACACTCAAAAATCAATACCATTCCTATACACAAATAACAAACTCACTGAGAGAGAAATCAGGGAACCAACATCTTTCACAGTAACATTAAAAAAAAAAAAAGAAATATCTAGCAATCCAGCTAATGAAGGAAGAAAAATACTTTTACATTGAAAATGATACTACTCTAAACAAGGAGATTGAAGAGGATATTTAAAAAATGAAATGATATTCTTTTTTCTTGGGTAGGAAGAACCAATACAGTGAAAAGAATCATACTTCCAAAATTGTTGTGATGAGGGGGAGCTTAGCTCAGTGGCATAAGTGCCTGCCTGGCAAGTGCAAGGTCGTGAGTTTGATTCCTGGTACCAAAAAAAAAAAAAAAAAAAAAATTGTTATACAGATCTAATGCAATTCCTATCAAAATTCCAACAGCACAGGGCTGGGGATTTAGTTCAGCACACAAGTGTCCACATGGCATGTACAAAGTCGTGAGTTTGATCACTGGTACAAAAAAAAAATTCCAACTGCATATCTCACACAATTAGAAAAAACAATCCTAAAATTCATGTGGAACCAGAAGACACCTAGAATAGCAAAAACAATTCTGGGCATCACAATCCTTGACTTGAAATCATACTACAAACCTACTGTGATAAACACAGCATAGCGCTGACAAAAAAAAAAAAAACAACCCAACAAGCACAATGTTCTGAGCTTGATTCCTAGGGGAGGAAAAAAAAAAAAAATCAAACCAAACAAACCAGAGAAATGGTGTTCCAGACAGTATATTTTGTATATTATCTATGCTGTAAGTACATTCTTTTACATATTTGTTTGAATGCAATTCACTGAATGAAACATAGTTTAAAAAACGTAGGACATACATTCATGTCCCTTGCATCTGATATAAAAGCAACCTTCTTTTTCTTTTTTCTTTTTTTTTTTTTTGGTCTTTTTCCTTTTTAGGGGTACCAGGGATCAAACTCACAACTCCCTGCTTGCAAGATAGGTGCTTATGCCGCTGAGCTAAATCCCCAGCCCAAAAGCAATTCTTCTTTTTGTACCAGAAAATGAACTTGGGATCTTGTGCTTGTCAGAAGTTGCTATGCTAGTGAGCTATATACTTGGTCCATAAAAGCAATTCTTGCTCTTACTAGATATTATCTTCTCTGGTATTTTAAATTCTAAACCATGGTAATTTATTTCATCAAAAAAATTTTAGAGTGGAGTTTGAAATACACTGCTACGCCAGAGATCTGGCCATGGTGGGACTCAAGCAGCTTATTTACCTGCCTTCTTGGTAAGTGCCTGCAGCATGGGCCTGGAGGAGAACTATTACCTGTGAGCCTACTGCCACGTAGACTGGGACTGAAAATCAAGCCCCCCTCCCCTCCATAGCTACTGGGGATAGATGTCTCAGCATCTCTTGGGAGGATGACCATATGCAGTATAGCAAATATGGGGGATTTCCTTCTATCTTCTGTTCGAAGGAGAAGGTTGATTTGTTTTGCTATGTTTCTTTTGCTCTATTCAGTATTCTTAATTGGTTTTATAGTCTTCTATTTTTGGTTTGATTTTGTTATACCTAATTGACTGGACAACTATTGTGACGTTAGAGATACCTTAGTACCTATTACTACTATCCCAGTATCCCATTGTGAAATCCTGTACCAATTTCACTGCATTGTCTCGATTGGCTTTGTTGTCTTGTGCTGTTGCATTTTTACTACTTTCAAAATAAAATTTAAAAAAATATACTGCTCCAAAAGGGGTGTGTGTGTGTGTGTGTGTGTGTGTGGTAAATTTCAGTGTATTACAACCTCCAGTCACTAACTTCACAAAACAATAAATTTTCCTCATATTTATCTGAAGTACAAGAACAATCTTTTGGAATTCGAAATAGAACCTGGTAAAATCTGGAACGCTAGTTCATCACAATATCCTAGAGATTCTAAGACTCATTATTTTTCACGTCGTAACATCTGAATTGAAGATGCCTTAAAGATCAGTGGCATAGCAGTTTACTTGGCAGCATCTTTTCTTTCTTGGCTAACAAAACAATGGTGAGTTTTAAATTTTATACTTTTTAGAGCGGCTATGAAATACACTAATATTAAGGACTATACAGACCAAATTGCGATTTTTTTCAAAATACTCAGCTGATCACAATGCCACCCTGACTTCTATCAAGAAAATGTTATGAGAACTGCTTAAGAAAGTCCTTTGTTCTGGACTAGACAAGACAAATGAATACCAATAGAGTTTAATGATTAAGAAAACTTTTGTCATTTGCCTTTATTGCGTGCAGGGTTTGAGTGGGATCCTTCTTGTCTACTTAATTTCTATATGGTAACTCTTGTTTCTTTTCTTTTCATCAAGGCGGTGAGAAGAGGGAGAGGGTTCTAGGGTCATGGTTGAAAAGGAAGGCAAAAGGTATGCCCAAGAGTTGAAGTGCTTGAAGAGAAAAAAACAAAACAAAACAAAACAAAACAAAACAAACAAAAAAAAAAAACTAGTTTTTTTTTAAAAAAGTGAAACTGCCAAAATCCCGTGTTTATGCTTAAACTGCCATCAACCTAACACACTGTAAAACTGAGTGAGTTGACCTGGCACCACGGATCCTGAACGTGACTAGGGACAAAATTAGTTCGCGGGCTACTTTCATCCCAACAAGACTGAAATACATCACAGTCTCCTCAAAAATGAAAGCCTCTAAGTGAGGAAATGAGTAAATTCAATGCCACAATTAACGTGCTGCTAGAAACAGGAACGACTGGTTACTGATCTCTGTTAAGCCTGACCACACGTCGCCAAGGCTTCTTTTTGCTTCTGTGCCACTAAACCTTCCACGAGGCTGAGGTCGAGAAGGCGGGTCCCGCTTTCAGACCTCCGAGGCGGGGAGCTCCAAGGGTTGCACGGGGCTCGGCTCCCCAGTCCAGGTCTCCGCCCAAACTGGTCAGCAGGCGCGAAGCCCAAGGCCTCGGTTCGTACCTGTGGTAGCCTGGGGCAGTCGCAACCGCCCCCCACTGGGCGGAACAAGGTGTCGCCAACACTCTGGCTCAGCCCGCGCGCTTCGGAGGGGGAAGCGTCTCCAGACCCGCCCCCGAGCACCATCACGTGACGGGAAGGGGGCGGGACTAGATACGCGCGCGGGGGCGGGACCTGGAGGGGGCGGAGCTAGAATGTGAAGGATCGGGAAGCTCTGGGAGTCCTGAAAGTCGGCGACGCGGCAGATGACAACATTAGGCCGCGACGCGCTCCCTGCTAGGCGGCGGTGTAGCTGCAGCCGTAGAGTCTGTAGCGTTAGCTTTTGCTGCGGCAGTAGGCGCCGCCAGTAGCGGGCCGACGGAGGGAAGGAGGGGACCCGCTCCTGCCCGGAACCACAGGGTCGGAGTTCCCGCCGCGCTCTCCCGCTGAGCCCCCGCGGCAGCTACGCAGCGCCCTCGCGCTCCAGCTGCCGGGAGAGAAGTTGGGGTCCAACCTGACGCTTATAGGGCCCAGCCCCGGCGCCGCCCGGATCCCCGAGGAGCCGACTGCCTGCGCGCCGCCTCTCCGGGGCCACACACCAGTGAGTGTCGCGCTGGCTCCGGGGACGGGGGCGGCAGGTTTCCTACCCTTCGGCGACTGCGCCCCGTGTTGCCACGTTCTAAGCGCTGGTCGTGGAGACTCGTGGCCACCCCGCGCCGAGTTTCTCTTGGCTCCTTTGTCCCTTTCGGAGCGGGGGGTTGGAAAGGCTGGTGGGGTTGGGGTGTTTTGGGGCCCACGGTAGATGCATCTGCAGCCTTACAAAGCTGGGCGTGGGGGACTATTGGAGCGTTCTAATCGTCTCAAGTCTCTACCTCTCGTGAAGTTTGACAGAGTGGGTGGCTGGGTCGTGCCGGAATCCCCCACGCCCCGGAGAGCTGGCGCTCTGTTGCCAGGCGAGGTTAAGGCGAGGCTCCGGTTTTCCTGTGACAGCCCCAGAAGAGGTTTTGCCGCGCGCCGCAGACCGCACCCGCCCTTACAGAGTAGAGTGCCAGGGTGTTGTGCTCTAAACCTCAGTTCCCGCGGCCGCCTTGTAACATAGGCGGAAAGGCGAAGCCTTTGCTGTACTTTTAAATTTAATATTTGCTTCTAACCCCTAGAGTGGAATCAGGTTCCAAAGCGCTTCACATGGAGCATGCTTTTTGGTTCATTGAACTACCCACTTTGGCGGGCTGAGACGAAGCAACGTAGTACAGGCAGATTTTCCATTCACAAAAGTCATTTAACACTTTTCATTATGAAAGACATTTGTGTTGCGGAACATAACCTAATTTCATTTTATCTAAATGCCGTCTGAAAGAAAAATGCTGTCTAAGTAAGTACTTGGGTTTCTCCTCAGAAGGAAAACCTTCTCTGATGATATAAACATATTTGCTCTAAATAATGTAGTTGATGTTTTTGGTTTTCTGCTGGAAGACTATTTTTGCTGGACTCTTTTGCAGTGAGATTATTAAGATAATACTGGTTTTGTAAAATAGGTTGGAGAAGAAAGAATAAGATTATGCAATTTAAAATGTCCTATTAAAAACACGAGTAGTGCTTTTAATACTGTGTATGTCTTTATTTACTTTCAGTAGCAACTATGTATGGAATAATTACAGTACGCCTTTTAAAAGAAGTAGTAGGGGCTGGGGACATAGCTCAGTGGCATGAGTGCCTGCCTGGCAAGCCGGAGGAGGTCATGAGTTCTATCCCCCAAACGAAGAGGGAGGGGGGAGGAAAGAGTGATGGTAAACAGAAGAGAGGAAACACAAGAGCTACTTTGTAGGTCTTTAATTATGGAGATTAAGTTGTGGTCAGATTCCATGTAAACAGTTTGAGGCACTGTGTGCAAGATGGGTGCTTAGAAATACTTGTTTAATTAAACCATAGTCGTGGTTTCTTTTTAATGACTCAATGTTATTGAACTTATGTGGAAAAATGTTACACCCCCCCCCTTAGAATGTTATTGCATTTTAATTATTTGTTTTTGGTTTTTTGAGAAACTGTCTTACCTTGTAGCCCAGACTGGTCTCAAACTAGTGACAGTCCTCTTGCCTCAGCCTCCCTAGTGCTGGGATTACAGGTGTAAACCACCAGGCCCCACTGTTACTGCATTTTAAAAGCATTTAACTGTATTTCTTACGGCACGTTCATGGCACTTACACACTTGCCAAAATGATGTTTATTTTTTACATGAGACAGTGTTTCACTTTAAGAAGTGATAAAAAATCATCAATTTATAAAGTATCACTACAGAAGTTTCTTTCTAGTTGCAGGATTGATTGATTGACTTTTGGTACTGCAGAATAAACCCAGGGTGCAGCAAACTACATTCCCACCATTTTTTATTTTTTAATTAAAAAAATTTTTTTAGCGACAGGGTCTTCTAAGTTGGGCTTGTACTTAAGATCTTCCTGCCTACGCCTCCAAGAGTGGTGTGATTACAGCATGTGTTAGAAGGAGTTGCAGGATTTTAACTACTGTGTGCTTTTAGTACATTAGGTGTGGTTTATAAATAATCTGTCAAGAACAGGTTACTTGAACTGAAAAAAGTTAGACAAAATATAGTTTATTTTGGAAAATTTTTTACCCTAATAGCAATTCAAGAGTAGGAGAGAGATTTTCTCTTTATTTTTATGATCAACAAACGAAGCATAAGAACAACTAAAATTTAAAAAGCCCCTAAGAAATACACTTTTGATCATTGTGGCTGGTTCCTAGAGATCAGTAGAGGCACTTGGAGCAATTGTGATTGAATTATGTATATGGTTATTTTGTAGATGTGACAGAGGAATAGATATGTGGATTAATGTGTGCAAATTTCATGTAAGTATGTGGCAACCTGATGAGATAGTACATTGATTCTTCTGGTTGACTTCGTCCTCACCTTTCATTATACCTTTATAAAGGAATGAAATTGAAAGTATCATTTGGAAGACATGATAAAAATGAAATTTTTTCCTCCCTAAAAAGTGTTGTTAAGCTTGCAAGGATGAAAGCTTTCTTTAGAGACCTTGTAGGGAAGAAATTGTCCTGGAACATCATTCTTTTATACCTTATGTTATTTTTACCTTTGTTATAATACCAGACAGTGTAAGCTCTCCATGACAGCAAGAACCTTACCTGTTTCGTTCAACAATTCATCTCCAAATGCTCAGTAATTTACTGGATGAAAAAGATGTCCCAAATGTATGACTAGAGAACAAAAGGAATATGTGACTAATGTAACTTACACTAAATATGGCAGTAAAGGAAGGATGCTAAGTCTGGAAGACAGAAACAGGTCATTTGATCTGAGAAACTTTCTTAAAGATGGTTCTTACGTTAGGTCTTGATGGAGCCTGTGTAGCTGAAGATAACCTGGTATCTTCCAGGGTGGACAGCTGACCAAAGCTTTTAAATTGAAGTGAATAATGTCAGATTAAATAAAGTATTTTTAAAAAATCAGTATTATGAAAAATTTTTCTTTTACAATAGTTGCCTCTCCTCTGATAAACAGATCTGCACATCTTGTAAAAGCTAAGATACAGAGTACAGTACTTAGTTTTTAGGAGTGGTGATAGTGCAATTAAAGGGAGTGCAGTTAACTTGTAGTTGGAAAATTTGGAGAACTGACTGCATCTTATACAAGTAATGTGTCCTGGGGCAAACTCTTGTACCTTAATTCTCAATTGTAAAGTGAGGATAATTAATGATTCTTACCTTATTATGGTATTGTATGGTATGGTATGAAATTATATAACATGGTGAAAATGTTTATCTCAATATCAACCTTGTAGGACTTTTAAGAAATGTAAAATTAAGCGAGGCATGGTGGCCATGCACTCCTGTAATCCTTGCACTCAGGAGGTTGAGGCAGGAGCATTGTTGCAAGTTCGAGACCAGCCTGGGCTACAAAATCAGCCCAAGGCCAGCCTGAACTGCATAGAGAAACCCTATCTCCAAAAGACCAAATATATATATATAAAATTTTTTTGTCTCTAGATTTAAAACTTTTGGTTCACTTATGAATTCTAGTTTATAATTTTTTTTATAGTGCTGAGGATTTCTGGTATCTACTTAACCCATCTAGTTGGCTCATGGTAATGCTTTAATGAGAATCAGGATTTTTTTTTTGTACCGGGAATCAAATTCATGACCTTGTGCTTGTCAGGTAGGCACTATTGGAGAATCAAAATTTTAGATGGATAGTTTTCTTCCATTCAAGCTTAATGTTTTTAGTGATATGAGTGACTATAAACAATGAAGATCTCTATCTTCTGTGATTATGAAATTCGATATGTTTTTGAACAGGCTAGTATTTCTTACCTGCATTATTTCTTATCTAAACTTTTTGCTCCCATAGGCTTTTTGCTCTTTAGTCTTTTTTGAATCTCAGAATTTCACGGTACTTTGTGAACTCTTTTTATTGCTCATGATCTACAGAACAGTCTGTCCTTTGTATACTATTCCAAAGGGAATTTTATTATAAAAAGACTAAAAAGAGTCTTGAGTTTTTTAAGTGACACGGAAGTCAGTTACCCAAAAATATTCCAGATTCATGAAGAACTGAAGAAGAGGGAAGATGGTTTCAGGATTTAGCTCTTTGCAAATAAAAAAGAGAAACCTTTTGATTTAGTGTGATTAAAAACTGATAGATTCAAAGAGCACGTCTTAGAGCAATGATTGGTCACAGTAAGTGTTGACTTCTTGCACTATACCAGGTACTACTCTAAGAAGTAGTTGGTACATATCCCGTTGAATCCTCACAGGGGTGCAAAGAAACAGGCTATTTTCTTTCAAACCTGAGGTACTGAGAGGTTAAGTAGTAAGTAGTGGAGCCTATCAAAAGGATTTGAACTTGAAGGTTAACCTGACCTTCTAATTACTGCTATTATACTACCTTGTATCATTCATTTGCAGTTGCAACTTATGATAGGTCTTAGCCTTATCTGTCTATCTTTTTGCAGGGGGGGGGGGAATGATTGAACTCAGCTTGCCAGGCAGGTTGCTTGTGCTGCTGAGCAATATCCAGGGGCCAGCCTTACCTTTCTGTTTTGTCTGTGTGGTTTCATGAAAATTTAAGGTAGAATATACCCTTGATTTTTAAAATTTCACTTCTGACTGACATCTGTTTTTAAATCCTATATATGACATATGCACAACACCCTGAGTTCAATCCCCAGTACCACACAAACACACACACATACAGAGTAATGCAAATACTTATTTTTCATCATCTTGCCATTTTCTAACTGAGGATTTCAGACTAGAAATAAAAGAACATAGTTGAGGCATAGTATTTTAAGATGACCTGTTATAGCTAATTTTTAAAAAAAAAATAATGATTTACAGAATTGGTATAGTTTCTGTGTAGTGATAGTTGAAGGATACAAATCTGTGTAATTTGAAGTGTATCCTGTTGAAATGAACATCACTGAAAGAAATTAGGTTTTGATGCCAAGTGCTGACATACTAGCAGTAGTTGATCAGCCTGGGTAGTTCCAACAAAGAAGGCTCAGGCTGCTGTGGAAATTATGGAATTTTTGTAGGTATATTTTGGTGAGGTGGGAGTATGGCAGA